GACAGTTCATCTGACCTGAGGATGTTTGTTCCCCCTGGGTAATGCTCTGGCTTACAATGGCCTTCTCAGGGATGCTTAAGGGATGCACTGCAGCCCAGAATTTCTGGAACACTAAGTGGTATGGCTACATTCGCTCCCTCATCAGTCCACTGACATCTAGAGTAGTGCAAGGGTTCAGCACCTCTTGGGATTTAATCCAAAATGTGCAACCTCAAGGGCCAAAGTTTTGGCTGTCCTGGGGGCCTGATTTTCAAAGGCATCGAGCACCCGGAATGCCAACTGGTCTCAGTAAGAGACGGATTAGGCTATTATCCTTTAAAATGAAAGCCAGCCTTGATGGAGGAAAGATACAAAACAAAAACTACTTCCCAACTAAAGGAAAGGAATCATTCTAGCTTCCCAGGCTTGCAAAATCCAAGTTCAAATGGCTCTCTCTGTGAAAAGCGAACTACAGAATCACAGCATGGTCTGACTATCAAAGGAGATGCATCCATTGAAGTCAATGGGGTCGCTAAGTGGTAAATGAGGGCAAAATTTAGCCCATTAACTTCAATTTTCCAGTCAGGAACACAACCAGTATTTTATTGGTCCATTGGGGCTCAAATCTTCTGTTTCAAGTACTCCTGAATTTTAAACTCAGCAGAAATTCTAGCCATAGCTTGTCTTTAAAAAGTCATATTCAGATACTGTGGGCCAAATTCTCCTGTTACAGTGATGCAATGCTAGTGTAACAGAGAGGAGAATCAGACCCACAGAATTATGATGTAGAGTTTGGGGTGCTCTGCACCTCTGAGGATCAGGTCCTAAATTAGCAAGTGAAGAGTAAACTGCACAAGTGCAGCTCTTCACATAACATGCATGTACCACATGACATTTCAGTTGCTACGCTAATAGAAATACTTCAGTCTGCTTGTAGCTTGGTTTTTTATATAGACTTCTGTCTGCCAACTTAGAGATAGTATGTATCAGCAAAACTCTCCTTGTCCATTAACGTAATGATTAATTAATACATGATTATCACGGAGGTTTCGAGACACTTGGCCAAATATTGCTCGTGCTTACATCTATGCAACCTCATTAAATTCAATGGGCCTGGAGAGAGCAGAATTGGACTGACTTACTTTAATGCAATATATGTGGACTAGAAGATTGTATAATGCTCTCTGGTGGGGAGGCAGACTGCCCCAGCAGGAGCTCCGCTGGATGTAGGTACTGGTGAATTAGGCTCAACGTGCCCTGTACTTCATGCTGGCTCACACATCAGTGCAAAGTGGATGTAAGTAGCTACTGGCCCAGAACGTTGGTGTTTTAGAATCACTTTGCATTGGTGAAAAACAACAATATAGGGTGAATTGGGCCTAATACCTCTGGAATCCCTGGGACAGCCCAGAAGAGATCTTTCCACATTTCTGGAATGGTATAGGGAGCAGGAGCCATGATCCCGAGCATGCCCCTCCCTACCTCACCCTCTTTTGGGAAAGACTGCATGTTGAGAGAACTAAGCTCAAGAGGTTCTTGTGCACAAGGACTCGCCACTGCCCAGGAATCCATGGGTGGAGGAGGCTCCTTGCATCATCCCCACACAAACTAGCCACGTATGCATATACTGGGCTAAATTCTAACACACTGTAGTCTGAAATGCACGTCACAGCTCTGTGTATCTATCTTGTCATTAATCAGAATCCATCAACTTTCAAATGCAGTCTACTTTGTTCACTATGTGAAACACTTGTGGTATTGCACCCTATGGGTCAGACCCTCCGATGGCATAAATTGGCATAAATCAGCTGAAGCCAATGGAGTTACACCCATTTACATCAGCAGTGGATATAATACCATAGCATAGAGGCCAGCATGAAGTAGATACTATTACTTCCTTATCACCAGACACGTTAGGACCAGATCCTGTAAGGGGGTTGACTTGAAGGCAGTGCACATCTTACATACTCAGTCTCTTAATTTGCATTAACATGATACTGTTATATCATATACATCAGGGGTCTCAAACACGCAGCCCCGGCCCGCCAAGCTCCCTACGCCAGCCCCCAGGCCAGGGGTGGGCAAGCTACAGCCCGCGGGCCAGATCCGGCCTGCAGGATTACCCCCCGTGGCACCGCAAGCCCCACGCTGCTCCCTGAAGCAGCTGGCAGCAAGTCCCTGCAGCCGGGAGGGAAGGAGAGTGTTCCGTGCATTACTTTCACCTCCAGACACCGCCCACCGCAGCTCCTATTGGCCGGGAACCGGGAACCGCAGCCAATGGGAGTTTCGGGGGAGGTACCTGGAGGAGCAGCAAGAGCAGTGCATGGAGCTCTCTGCCCCTCCCCCGCCCCCGGGGCCGCAGGGATGTGCTTCCAGCTGCTTCCCAGAGCGGGGCCAGGGCCTGGAGCGGGGACGGGGACGGCAGGGAGCCTGCCCTGGCCCTGGCGCGTGCTGCTGCCACCCTGGAGCCGCTTTAGGTAAGCGGCGCTGGGTCGGAGCCCACACCCCGCACTCCTCCTACACACCACACCTCAACCCCATGCTCTGAGCCCCCTGCTGCACCCCACACCCCTCCTGCACCCCAACCCCATGCTCTCAGCCCCCTGCCAAACCCTGCACCTCAACTCCCTGCCCTTAGCCCCCGCCACCTGCACCCCTCCTGGTCCCCCTAAGGGCAGGGAGGGGGCGGAGTTGGGGTGGGGACTTCGGGGAAGAGGTGGAAGGGGGACGGGGCCAGGGGCAGCGAGGGGCTGGGGGTGTCAGTGATGCAGCCCTCGGGCCAAAGCATTAGTCCTCATGTGGCCCCCATGGTCATTTGAGTTTGAGACCCCTGATATACATCATATAGTTTCAGAATGTGCTACCAAGCATTAATCATAGGGGAGAAAAAAAATGCAGGCTGCAATGGGTTTGCATGGCTATAAAGGAGAACAAAATTTGGCCCTCTGCCCTCAGATACACCAATGGGATGTCCACTGCCAGCAATGGGAACTGCACACATGTATCTGAGGGCAGAGTTTAGCTATAGGTATTTGTAAATATGGACTTGGGAGAACAAGCGATAGGATGCAAGATAAGCCCTGTAAGGCTGGTTAAATGGCTTGCACATTTAAACGCAGAGCCCTTGGGCTGTTCTCCCACCCCTCCCAATATCAGACTCTAACCAGCGGAGCTGAACACTGCTCTCCTTTTCACCCACGGAGCTACTCAGTTTGGTTGGTGAAAGAATTTTTCCTATGCATTTACAAAAAGTGTTCTTGTTAATCTCATCATGCTACTAGCTTTATTATAACACACACCTTAGTCATCTGCATCATAATAAATAAATAATATTGAGAAATCAAGGGCCTGATTGTCCACTGCCTTGTGCATTTATAGCAGTGCAAGGTTAGAGCAAAGGGGGTGCAAAAACACTTTCCAACCACTTTGCACAGGTGCACAAGCCTACACAAGGTGCCAGACAATGAAAAATCAGGCCCCAAGGCTTTGGGGTTTTGGACATAAATACTGCCTCAATAGATTTTAATTTTACAGCTTTCTGAACTCAAGTTATACATCTGGGCCACATTCTGTCCTCAGTTGCAACAATGTAAAACTGGGAGTAATGCCAGTGAAATCAGTGGAATTACTTCAGATTTACACCAGCATGCCTGAGATCAGAATCTGACTAAACCCTTACCCATGGCTATATTGGCCTTCTGTGAATGTTTAGGTGCTGTTAGCCACCAGAGAGCAGTCAAAGCTTTACCCAAAAGACTGACAAATCACACATCACACCAAGTGACGAGAGAGGAGAGAGAGATCGAAGCGTATTATACTAATGCTAAAACAGAGTCTCTTAAGCTCAGGACAAACTCCTACCCTTAGCATTAGCAGCTGTGCAGGGGATGGGGAGAAGACATAGCTATGCAGGGCAGGCTGGTTCAAGATGAAGTAGTACAATGCACTGCCATTTGTTTCTTCTTTTACCCGAGTAGCATGTACCCTTACGCTAGCGGCTGCTGCTAGCATACTTGCTAACTAGCCTGGGAACTAGGCACTCCCACAAGCCAGCTTGTCATCCCATTTAGGGCCATAGTGGGGTTGGTGCACTGGCCAGGAGTTTTTCCTAACACTCTTGTGAGTTGTAAGGGGAGAGACCCTGCCCCAATCCTCTCTCAGGAGCATATGGAAAGACGAAGAACCCTACACCATCTTCCCCCTCAACACATCACAGGGCAGGGGCTAGCCCAGCGAGAAGATTAGAACATGCACACGTGCAAAGTGTCATTACAATCCAATCGAATATGCTGCACATTCAACTTCCCTCTCACCCTCACCGATCTTTGGCCACATGTTTCTAGATAGGTCTGTACAGAAACGCAAGAAGAATCCTCTGACAATTGGACTACCAAGATGTCTCAAAGAGGACCAGGCTCTTATGTATTTGCTCACAAACAAACTGTGCAGATATCAATGGCAAAACAGACACACACACACGCCCAAAGCATTGTTCTGTTTTGATCATCATAGTAGTGCTTTTCTAACTTGGATAATAGACTCCCTACAGCAGTGGTGGACAACCTACGGGCCACAGGTTATCCACCACTGCCCTACAGTGGCTCTCAGTGACAGTGAGCACAGCCCACAGCAGGGAAGGATTTATCCATGAACCTGCATCTGCAAGAAAGGATCTCCCAGAAGTTGCAGATTCACAAATGAATTTCCAGCCGTTTCCATTATGCACAATAATTTCTAATTTCATCTCCTTTATGATGATGTTCTTTTAAAGCCAAAATGGTGGGCTTGGTTCAGGTCTGTCTTACACCAATGTAAACCAAAAAGAATGTCACTGAATTTACACCAGTGTAATACAGGTATAAGCAAGACTAGAAGATCCAATGCCTTTTCAATCTAGAAGGTGCTTTAGTACATGAATGATCATGGCTATTTAAAAACCTCTCATTAACCCCAAACAAACAAAGGAACCACAAAAACAAAGTAGAAATATTACATAATAACCACCTTATAAATTCCATTACCTGCGAACTGGGAACAAGGGCCTTCCACCAATGTCCGCCCTTCACAAGGTCAACTTCATTTAATGGCATTGACACTTTGCCTATGACACAGTGGCGTGAGAATTTGTCAAAATCCACTATGGTTAAAAGTAGCGTTCTTCTTTGGGCTTCTAAAAATGGAATTTCAAAGGTGTACCTCTCCTCAAACACTGGGTTCTGGGTTTTGCGTTTTACTCCTGTCTGCTTGGAGTTCTTCTGATCTGGAAGGAGGCAGATCTTGACATAAGGGTTGGAATGAGCCATATCTTGTCTTGAACCGTCATACGAAATTGGAGGAGGCAGATCTTTAGCCTCAATTACCCTCACTATTAGATAATTATGCAACAGATCATACTGTGTGCTAAAATGCAGCATGCCCAATTGGTACTTCGATAAGATTTCCTCATCTGTCAAGGAGTCCATGTCATCACTATTAGAGTCAAGAGAGTAGAGTCTTGGTTCGAATTTTCTAAAATAGTCATCTGGGGTATACGTTTTTCTCAGGATAGTTGGCTGAACTATTTCTTTTTTAGCTCCTATAATTCCAAACTCAATAGGTTTAATGTCAATTAGTGGAGAACTTGGCCTTCTCGATTCTAGACCTAGGCAAAAGAAACATACAAATAGCAATGTCGGTAACTGGAAAGATCTGATTATATCCCAACTTAGTCTCTGCCCCAAAGCTCTTACAGTCTGTCTTTTTGTTCTGTTTGTACAAAGCCCAGCACAATGAGGTCTTGGCCCATGACTGGGGCCTATCTCAACACAGATAATAAAAACAAACAATAATAATATCACTAGTTAATCTTTAAGTGCAAACATCAAATAGATTTCTGCCCCCTCCCCCTGTCTAACTCTGTGATTCTGCCTCATTCATCCTTTAGCAAAAATATAAGTTTGGCCCCTTTCACAGTCTCTTTGTGGAACAGTTTAGGATTTTAATCAACATACCTTAGGCTTGACTTGGATCTCTCTCTAAAAGCAGGCACTAACCTAAGCTTTGGTCTACTTGGGAAATTACGTTAATATTGTACGGCTGACAGCCTTACTTGAAATCCGCCTTGTGAGGCTGTAAGTAGACCGTGATGTATCTGAAGATGATCGCCTTCTGTCAGGAGAAGAGTCTTGAGGAGTTGGAGGTGGCTCGCTGGTTGTGTTATCAGAGTCTCCATCTTTGTCCTCATTTTGATTGCTTATCCTGTGAAAATGAAAGACCTCTGGATGTGTGAATCCAGTAAGTGTACTGTACACATAACGAACAGGATAATAAGCCCTCTTCTCTGATACTTTAGATTGAACCCTGGATGAATATCATGGATGCTAGAGCTTATTTTCAGATCTAGTTGGAAAACAGAAGAGTGCTGAGCTCTGTGGCTTCAGGGCCCTACAAAGCATGGATTCTCTATCCTTTCTTTTGTCTTTCATACTTCTTAAAATGCAATGAAGCTTACTAGCAACAGTAAGGATATACACCAGTATGCACTTTAACACACATCTATACAGATGTGCTCATGTTTCAAATACATGCATGCGATACAGACCTTGTGGCATTATTGATTTATGTAGTGAAAATATTTATACCATTACTTACAGCTGTATATTTAGGATATAGACCTGGAATTATGGCTTTCATTAGGATCATCAGATAGTCACATTATTAATAGCATGGGAAATAACCATGATCAATCTTCTCACATCATGTTTAATATTAATATATGGTGGTAAATGAGCCATTAAGTTTTGGAAATGTGGCCCTGTAAAGCAGGATTTGTTGACAAACCTTTTAAGCAGTTCCTGTCCCCTTTTTATTTACTCTTTTGCATAACTGGATAGGACAATAATTCTGCTATATCTTGTTTTATTTGTGGGAAATATATAAATAAGCAAGAAAGGTTACACACCCCTCACTGAAACTTTGTGAAGGTTTAAAATGCACAAAGTGATTATGAGAATGGGATCATACAAAAGTCCACAAGCAATCCCCTTGTCAATTTAAATCTTCTACATAAAGTAAGCTCAGTAAAAATCTCAGCCTCTCACAGATTGCAGCAACTCACATTAAGCAGAACAAATCAGAACCTCTTAAGTGTTCCCCTCAAAGAAGAGCAAGAGCAGACAGGAACAAAAGTCTATAGTTCAAGATTCTAATGTCAGTTGCACTGGTAACAGTCTGGAATATGTCCAATGAAGTCAATGGAAGAACAATTTTATCCTGACATAATTGAGATCAGAATCTCACTTTTTTTTTTAAACAGTATTCCATTCTTTATAGTGTACCAAGATAAAATACACTTTTCTGGTTAGGCCACAAGACAAAAGAACACTCAGAAAATAGAAATTGGGCACAGCCAAAGTTCAGCATGAAATAAGCAAATCAGATGGGAGCAGTGCTTGAATTTTGCTCCTCATTCATTCTTTCTATATTTTTGGCTATGCCAGGTATAAGATGCATATGTTGAATCATTTGCCTCACAAACCACTAATGAAACTAGGCTGATAATATTCTGTAGCAAGTAGTAAACTCAAAAATCTAAATCCAAATTTAGGAATAGACTAAAAATGGATTCCAGATCTGAATCTACCTCTCCCCCAAGTTTGGGGGAAGAAGTTCAGATCTGGATCTTGTGGTGCTTGGAGAGCTGAACCCACCTGAGCTTCACAGTCCATTGATATTTAATAGATTTTTGATAGAAAATTAAAAACATACATTAAATGGACAGATAATACCCAGCTTTCAAACGCAGGTTGCTCAAATCCTTCAACTGGATATAAAAATCAATATTTAGGTGCATAAAAGTCTGATTTTCATGCCAAGAAATGGATTTGAACATACTTATTATGATCCACATGCCTGAAAATTAAACCTACAGAATGGGGGCAAAGCAGGGGCAAAAAGAATCAGAAAAAAATCATTAAGGATATTCTACACATGCTAAACATAATAGTGAATTAACTAAGTAACAAGCAGGTGACCTTTTGCAGGGAAATTGCTACCAAACCACGATAATTTTTCCTCAAATAACTTTGGCTGTGTTTGGAATAGCTCTGTTCGTATTTAATCAGAACCTTTGGTAAGGAGAATTGAGCTCTAATTTCAGTTTAACCTTGCAGAACACACAGTATTTATCTTTGAGTTTTTATGTAGGAGATTTCATAAGATGCAGAGCTGACAAGCACCCCAGTTCCCTCCCAATTTTTTTCCTAAGGCTAGGAAGCAAACAATAATTATGAAATAACAATAAGGATTGCCATGTGTGCAAGTCAATACAATTAGATTTGCTTCAGCAAGCTAAACATACTTCCTTTATCATTGACGTTATAGGGTGCTGTAAAAATTCAGGAAGTGCAAAAAGTCAACATCTACCAAAATAAATTACTTAATTTCACAGCAGTTGGGCCCAATCCTGCTTCCCTAGCATACCCAGAGCTTCTACTACTGACTATGGGAATGTTGCTGATGCAAAGAATGGAGGATCGATGCAGACATTAACAAGATTGCTCCCATTCATCTAGAGACCATGAGAAGGATTGGGTGTGAGGGAAAAGCACACCCCGTATGACAGCAATGGCCATGTTAGGTGGACAAGGATAAGAGGATTGAGCACTCTTAGTTGTGAGCCTTTAGACATTTTTAGATACTTTTTTGGGGGGTGGGGGTGGGGGGGAAGAAAGGGCAACACAAGAAATGTACTTGTTCCCCAAACTCAATACATTGAGGCAGAACGTGAATCTTTTTAAATCCAGGTCCTAATTCAAGGTGTTATACTGCTGCCCAGCACTATAGTATGGGAACATCTACCATGCAAAAACAATTAGTGTAACGAGACCTCGGAGCAGTTCTGAAATACATATACACATTAAAATAGCTCATTCACAGCTCAATTCTGCAACTCTTACTCATGTTGAGTAGCACTTACTCATGTGATGAGTGCAGTACTGCAAACTCCAAACATTTAGAAACCTCCCTGCACCCAAAACAACAAGACCAGGCAAAGGACACCACTTCACTCTTTTAACTCCTAAGGTGTCATTCTGTCCCTCTCCATTCTCCTCTCCAACTTTCCAGCCCTCCCCTCTCAGTCTCCTTACCCCCTATACATATATTCTCTCCCTTTCCCCTCAGTCACCCACATTCTCCCAGCATACCCCCAAATCTCCTTCCCTATGCCCATTTTCCTTTACAGTCTCTCTCAGCCCCCCTCCCTCCATATTCCTTGGATAAACTCAGCTGCCACCGCCACCATACTTTCCCCTGTCCCCTCACTGTCTCTTGCCTGGGCTGCATACAGGAAACAGAAGCTACCATTTTAGCTGAGGGCATCTTAGGTTCAGTCACATAAAAAGCAATGGGAGACAGCAGCCATTTTGAAGCATTTTGCTGCCCAGCTTCTAGAGACAAGAATTTTTTTAAAAAAACAAACCAAACCAAACCCTAAACTTGTAAGATTTGTGAAAATATCATGAGAGCTGAGGACTTTGATAGTCCCTAGAGGGCTGCTGGCCTGACTATATGTAACACAGCATAAGAAAGGATTGCAGAATAGGGCCCTTTAATATAATTTTCTACAATTATTTATGGCAAAAGTTATCCAGGAAGGATCCTTGAGGCAGCTGAACCGGCACGGATCCATGACACAGGTGGAAGGGAGTACTTCTGGAGCCCACAAAGGGGGTCCACATTGCAAAGTCCAGCTCCCCAAAAGAACTGAAGAATCACCACACAGGTGGGTTAGCAGGGGGCCAGAGAAGGAACAGAAGCCCAGAGGTGGGGGATCTACCACTACACGGCCCCAGTGGCCACATGGGGAGAATCAGAGATGGTTGGAATTACTGCGTCAGGGCTAGGATTGCCATTTTCTAATTGCACAAAACCGAACACCCTAGCCCTGCCCCTTCCCCGAAGTCCCGCCCTACCCCCCCCCTGCTCACTATATTCCCCCTCCCTTGGTGGCTCACTCTCCCCCACCCTCACTCACTATTACTGGGCTGGAGCAGGGGTTGGAGTGCGGGAAGGGCTCTGGCTGGGGATGCGGGCTCTGGGTTAGGGCCGGGGATGAGGTGTTCAGGGTATGAAAGGGGGCTCTGGGATGGGGCAGGGGATTAGGGTGCAGGTAGGGTGAGGGCTCCAGCTGGGGGGGGACAGGCTCTGGGGTAGTGCTGGGGATGAGGGGTTTAGGGTGCAAAAGAGCATAAGAACGGCCATACTGGGTCAGACCAAAGGTCCATCTAGCCCAGTATCCTGTCTTCTGACAGTGGCCAATGAGGTGCCCCAGAGGGAATGAACAGAACAGGTAATCATCAAGTGATCCATTTCTTGTCGCCCATTCGCAGCTTCTGGCAAAAAGAGGATATAGGGACACCATCCCTGCCCATCCTGGCTAATAGCCATTGACGGACCTATCCTCCATGAATTTATCTAGCTCTTTTTCGAACCCTGTTATAGTCTTGGCCTTCACAATGTCCTCTGGTAAGGAGTTCCACAGGTTGACTGTGTGCTGTGTGAAGAAATACTTCCTTTTGTTTGTTTTATACCTGCTGCCTACTAATTTCATTTGGTGGCCCCTAGTTCTTGTGTTATGAGAAGGAGTAAATAACACTTCCTTATTTACTTTCTCCATACCAGTCATGATTTTATAGACCTCAATCATATCCCCCTTAGTCACCTCTTTTCCAAGCTGAAAAGTCCCAGTCTTATTAATCTTTCCTCATGTGACAGCTGTTCCATACCCCTAATCATTTTTGTTGCCCTTTTCTGAACCTTTTCCAAGTCCAGTATATCTTTTTTGAGATGAGGGCGACCACATCTGCATGCAGAATTCAAGATGTGGGCATACTATAGATTTCTACAGAAATCTATAGAAAATATGATATTTTATGTCTTATTATCTATCCCTTTCTTCATGATTCCCAACATTCTGTTTGGGCGGGAGGGGGCCTCAGGGCTGGGGCATGGGCTTACCTCGAGTGGCTCCCAGGTAGTGGTGCAGCTGGGCTAAGGCAGGCTCCCTGCCTGTCCAGGCTCCGCACTGTGCCCCGGAAGAGACCAGCAGGTCTGGCTCCTAGGCAGGGGGCCAAGAGACTCTGCACACTGCTCTAGCCCACAGGCACCGCTCCCCAGCTCCCATTGGCCACAGTTCCCAGCCAATGGGAGTGCGGAGCCAGTGCTCTGGGCGGGGGCAGCACGCAGAGCCCCATGGCCCCCCTGCCTAGGAGCTGGACCTGCTGGCTGTTTCCAGGGTGCAGCGCAGGGCCAGGACATGTAGGGACTAGCCTGCCTTAGACCCACAGCACCACTGAACAGACTTTTAACAGCCCAGTCAGCGGTGCTGACCGGAGCCACCAGGGTCCCTTTTCGACCGGGCATTCCTGGCAACCCTACTCAGGGCCTGCCACTCCACAGATCAAGTGAAGATTTCTTCTATCCCACCCCTTCCTGGAGCCCCTACTAAGCCTAGCCACTTGTCCCCAAGTACTCGATCATTTCTGGAGCGTATCTTTCTAAGTCCAATAAAGTGGTCTCATCATTTTGTTCACCTGCACACGATGTTTCCTTATTTAGCAGTGATTTTATTTCCAGTTCCCATTAGCTGCAGATAAATGAGTTTCGAAGCACAATTCTGACCCTTAAAAAAATGCTCCCTGTTTAAGAAGCACTATAAAGCTCTACTGCTAACCTCTCTGCACCTTCTTCCTACACTAATTCAAAACAATAAATCAGATACTGTAATTCAAACAGAAAAAGATGAATTTTATATACCGTTTACAGACAAACCTGATAGATCTGGCAGGGAAAAAAAATGAAAGCAAGGAAGCTCCTGGGGAGAATGATACTGATCACGTCTTCCTATCTATCGTCCAGCAACACAGCGAAATGTGGTGCATTAGGGAAGCAATTAAGGGGGCACCTCACCTGTTGTGGTTTCAGAAGCACATTACACATTTAACTCTTGAGTAGCAATTACTCTGCTGCTATGGGAGGCAGTGAGGCCTTGCAGCTAAAACACTGAACTGGCACTAAGGCTCCTGCTCTGCCAGTGGCCTGCTGGGTGACCTTGGGTAAGTCACTTCGCCGCCCGGTGCCTCAGTTTCCCCAGGTGCAAAATGGGGATAACAATACTGGCCTCCCTTGTAAACTGCTTTGACATTGTTGTTTTAGGATCAGATTTTAAAAGCACTTAAGTGACACAGGAACACAAGTCCCATTAGAAATTCAGTTTTTCTAGGGGATATACTCTCTTATGTCACCTTGGTGTTTTTGTAAGTTTCCCCCTTTAGCCTGGTTAAATCAGACTAACATTAATAAGATCAGTATCTATTTCTTACTCTTATAAGCCTCAAAACATTCTAGTAGATATTGTTTAGTTTCACTGAATGCTGATTGTATGCTATTTTTCTGCCTAGAACGATATCTTACAACCAACCTAAGCCTTCCTAAGAATACAGATTTATCCTGGAAATAGCTAAAGTTAAGTGTGATTTCAGCCATTTTCAATGGGGCTCTGCATGGGCTCACCAACATGCAACAAATTGCCGAATTAGGGCCTGTGCGTGAACCCCAATTTGTCTGAACAGTTATCTGGTGTATTACATACTGTATGTCTATCTATGGTTAAGGCAGATCATAAGCTCCTCTGATAGGAACCTTGTCTGTTATGTGTTCATAAAATACAGTGCATGCTCTAAGTAATAATAAAATAATAAATATAGGTCCTCCTATGTAGTCACTTGACTGGCAGTCTGGAAAATTACAGCAATCAAAGGGCTAAAGTGCTCAAAATAAACAGTCCAATTTAGAGATTCAACAAAAATTCAAATGAAATGTATTGTTCTCAGCATGGAATACAAAGCTAGGTCAATTACCAACTTGCTGTGTTGGCTTGCAGGATAGTTTCTGACTTAAGAATTGGGGTAGCTATATTTCAAAGACTCCAGCTACCTGAATTAGCAGGACATGTTGTTTAGCTTTGCTGCAGTTATATGCACGCTTTATATAGTTATATGCACTGTTCCCACTCCTAACACCGACTCTTCCCACCAATCTCTTATTGTATGTATGCCATTAGCCAGGTGTGTGGCATTTTTGGATTCTTATGGCCTCATGTTTATGCCCTCACCACAGCCAAAATAACATTACCTTTGTCACCCTGCTATAAACTGGAGATAACATTTGCTTAATATGCACATCTAAACTTACAGCCAGGCTGGCGTCTGTGCAGGAAAAGGTCCCAGGATTTCAACTTCATCTTCGCTCGACTGACAACAGCTACAGTCAAAACACTTCTGACAACAATTTCTACAAGTCCATCTGCACAGCAAGAGATCCAAGAGTCTAGAGAGCAGACCCTGAGGCCATTGGAAACCAAAGAATAAGATTACAAACAGTAGATCATCGGTGAGAAATAACACTCAGCTGTATTTATGTTTTGTGTCTCTGCAGCAGAACATTTGGAACTATATTTATTCCATTTATATAAACAGACAAGTGCCGTGCAGTTACTGGCACAATCTCACTGAAGCCATAACTAGGCAGGGAAATAAACATTCACTGCAGGTATTTTCTTTTATAGAATTATTATGTACGTGGGCGAGAGAGTGATTTACAAAACACTATGTCATAACAATATGCTAGAGCAGAAACATGCCCATTATTTCACCTACATTAACAAATTAATATATCAACAAATGCATGGCAGAGAGAAGAAAAAACTGAAGACCTCAATTTAATTTCACAAGTTGTTGCACAGCTGAAAAAACCTAACACAACAATATGAAGGTATTTTAATACTGTAGGCATGTAACCATATGATATTCATATGCTCCATACATGCAGTATTACAGCCTCAAATTTGTCAGCAAAATGTATCAGCCTAGGTACAAAATCTTGCCTGACTCTTACTATGATGATTAATTTATTGAAAAAGCTAATGATTTTTTTAAAAAACGTTATTTGCCCTCGGTGAGTGTAGAAGTGCCCCGGAGAACAGAATTTTGTATGGTGGCAGTAGTAACTCCCTAACAGTGCTATTACATTTATTACATGCACACACATTATATATATATATATATGTAATAATGTACACAGGTTAATGTATACACTTAGCCTGTGTATATATGTTTATAACATTATAGCGTAACATATAAATATACACAGGCTAAGTGTATACATTTATAGCAAGGGAGAAGTATATCCCAAGAAAGGAACTGTCTGAGGAAGCCACAGTTCCCTTCCTTCTCCCCCTTGCTTCAAGAGGGTATAAACTTGCTGGTGGCTTATACCAACGACAAATAACTACCCCACTCCCACCACACCCTCTAAGCTCAGCTTGCTGGTGCACTGGAGAGAGAGGGAAGGAGGCATGAAGCCAGGGTTCTGCTCATTCCCCATCCACCCCTACCCACCTTTCCCAGGTAAGGGGGTGGGGGGAGAAGAAAGTGTTTGTAAGAAGGCTCGCAGAGCAGTACATGGGACACAGACAGACAGATTCTAGCTATCTGTACTCAGTGATAGGTGAAAACCCAGAATGCATTATGAAACCCTCACAAAGTCAAAATTTGAGAATAGCCTTTTTAAAATTGTACTAGAAATTATTGAATTGCATCATGTTTGCAGTGTTCAACACTGCCTGTACAAGGAAGCAGTCGGCACTCACTGGGAGGCCTTCACTGGGAGCACAGGGCTGCAGAGGACAGTAGCAGATTGATAGTAAAACAAATTTTTATTCCACACCTATAAAAAACTGAATTTTCCTGGTATACGAAAAGATTAATTTTTCTATAAATGAACCCCAGAAATCAGAAAAGCCACAAAGCAAGGAATCTGGCATACCATTTATACCTATGGCATTAGAAAACATTCAGAAAATGCAGGACAATCTCCTCTGGACGATGAGATGAGACAGAATAGGGAATGAATCATCAGATTAACTCACCTCATTTATCGGTTCCAACTGTCCTTTTAGATATCCATGATGAAGCAAAGGGGAACAAAATGAAAAAGACAAAACCAGTTTAGCAATGCTCAAATAACTCTAAATTAGCACCAGCCAGAGAACAATTTCTTTAATTTCTCAGGACATGTTATTTCCCAAGCTTGTCCTACTTAATTTTAGGGGAGGGGGAAGAATCTCCTGAAGGAGCAACAATGTCGTCTTCTCCCCTTCCCTTCCTGCTGCTCACCCTTCCCTAGGAGGATCCCACCACTCTCACTCACCCCTGTTTACAGCAAGAGAAACGTATGTATTGCTTCTGCTACCATCCCCCTCCCAGGAGACATCATGTGCAACCACACTCTTCATGTGTCCCTAGGAAATTACTTCATTTCTACAACTACTGTATTTACTGCATCAGTAGCAAACCACATCCTGGTCATAGATACACTGCGAGCTCCTGGTAATAGAGACCCTGATCTCAGTTCAGTTCTGGCAAAAATGGTTGCAACTCCAGAGATATTAAGACCAATAGTTTCAGAAGTGGACACTAATTTTTGAGTACTCCCATTTCTTAAGGGGCTTGCTCTCCCAAAAGCTTCTATTGGCTATACTCTATGGAAAACATAGACAATACAACTTTTAAAAAAGAAACTAGATTAGATTAGATTAAATTTAGCTCTACAATGGCTTCCATAGAAAGCATTTTAACACAAACATCCATCGCCACGTTCTCACAGACCATTGCTTAGTGAAAATTCCGCCACCTGTATGAGGTAAGGTTTGCAAGGACAAAAGTGCTGTATTTTGATATGGCTATACCCAAAAATCATTTTTAAAAACCCCAGGGTTCTATCATCCCCCAATTTACATACTAAGGTCCACACAAAACTGGTGTGGCTTATTCCAAGCCTGCACTAAAATTCCTATTCTGCATTAAACCGGGTCCATTGGATTCATGCCCTGCAGCCAAACAGCCCAGCATGTAGTGTAAGAAAAGGCCATGTGGCATGAGGGAGTGGGGTGTGGTAATTCCAGGCAGGCCTGTATCAGACAATCCACCTGGCTAAAATGTATCAGTCGTGCAAGAGAAGCATCAAGTAAAACAACCTAGATCTGCTTTAAAATAAAACAGGTCCTTGGGCAGCCAGGACCCCAGGAGCATGAGCAATGCTACCCACAGACTCCATCATAAAGTAACTGGAGTTCCATCCTGACTGTGTGCTCAAACTCCCGCAGAAACCCTAGCCAGGCACACAGGAGTGACGACAGAGACTACAACAGGCAGGAACTAATCACCATAGCACAGCAGAAGCAAATGAACAGCCAGTGCCATAAAATACATAAATGCACAGATCCATGAAATAAAAGCAAACACAAACAGCTGTCTGTGTTCATGCCAGTCACATGCAACAGGGGGACTAGCTCTGGGGGAATGACAAAGGTTTATAGAGCACAAATGATGTGACTGCCAGCAGGTGCTGGGTAAGCTCAGTTGAAGTTTAAGAACATGGACACTAGAACAAACCCAGCACATAGAGGCAGCCATGACATTGGCCTAGTCCACTGGGAATGCAAAAGGAATACCACTCAAGTTACAGCTGCTGAGCCTAGGCTTATTGTACCAGATCTGCCCATTCAAGGTCAACTAGGGTGACCAGTCAGCAAATGTGAAAAAACAGGACAGGAGGTGGGGGGGTAATAGGAGCCTATATAAGAAAAAGACCCAAAAATCAGGACTGTCCCTATAAAAACCAGGACATCTGGTCACCCTAAGATCAACTCTTCAACCCAGGAGCATAATCCATTTGGGTGCCATAAACAAACCCCCATCACAAAACAACACATTGTATGTGTAGGGTGGCCTTGGGGCCCTTGCACAGTCATTGCTGCTTGATGACCTTGCTGACAGCTGTTCCTTGCTACCTTGGTTTCCAGGATCTGCCATACGTGGGGCTGTTTTTGTTATCTTTACCCTTACACTCCCTGTGCCCCATATGCTGCTGTGCTTAGCTGTTCCCTGCATCCTCCAAATCAAGTGTGACCAGCATTTTTAAGGCGGGTGATATTGCACAGCCAGGGCTCGCTTTTTCTAGCATGAATATACTTACATACATGCATGTATGGACATATACATGTCCCCTCTACTTCTGTACACTTTGGTCAGTTGGGGATGACAGGGCTCCAGTACTACACCACTGATATTACAGATAGAGGGCAAAGAACATTAAGGGTGGCATTTTCAAAAGAGCCTGGCTTAGGAACACAACTCCCAGTGAAAGCCAATGAGCCGCGTGCTCTAAAGTCACTTATGTACTTTTGAAACAATAAATCGTAATACTTCACACACACACAAAGCCTGATCTAAAGCCCAGTGAAATCAATTCAAAGATCCCTACTGACTTCACTGGGCTTTGGATCACCATAGTATCTTTCATCCCAGGATCTCAAAGCACTTTTTAAATATTAACTAATTTGCAGTCAGTACACCCCTGGGAGGTAGGTCACTATTGTCATTGTCATTTCAGAGATGAGAAACTGAGTCACAGAGAGGGTGACTTACCCAACAGCATTTTACATCCACTGTGCACAGATGTCACTGTCAGTGACTATGCAAGGCAGTGGAGAACCAAACCAAGTCATTGGCAGAGCTCAGATAAGAAGCCAGATTTCCTGGCTAACATCTTCCAGGAGTTTTTAAACCATAAAACCATGGGTATCAAAACTCATTCAGGGGAGCAGGTGAAATTACATTTTTAATTATACACCATGGACCCAGTTTACAGCATTAGGGTCTCATATACACAACAGCCTATCCACCAAAGAGCTCCTTCTACCCTGGCACAATTACACGATGGACAGGCCGGGCTGGGAGTAGTGACAAACCTTGGGGCTCAAGGCCCCCTGCCCATCTAGCTCCCAACAGCCCCGGAAAGTAAGGACAGCTTTAAGTGAGTGCTGGTTTTCATGGCCTTGAGCAAGTTGAGTGGGTCCCTGTTTTGAAGTTCATAGTTGATGGTAATATGTCAGTATACCACATTGGGGTGAGAGTCCCTGTGTCTGTGTCCACAGCAGGTCCCTTTATTGGTGTGAGAGCCCCCGTTTCAATCTCTGCAAGGATTCCCATATGTGTGGGAGTCCCCACTTCTAGGCTTCCCACGTAGGTGGGGTTTCTGAGCCTGCGTTCTCAAGGGTCCACGTGACAGTGTGAGGGGCACATTCCATCCCTGCTGGTGTTTCACAGGAGTGTGATTAGCAAGGTCATCTCACACTCTGGGGGAAGCTCTGTGCCCTTTCATTACCTTCTGGCTGACTGATTCCTGAGCCTCCCAGGCCTCTTCCAGAGGCTGCCCTGCCTAGTCCTCCTCCCTCAGCAGCAGCCACCTAAACTCAACTCAGGAGCAGCATCCATGGTGATGCCAGCTGGATGGATGGGGGAGGAGTTGGTAAAGGACCGCTGGCTGCTCCTACTCCCATCTCCCTGCCCGCTCTTGCTCCTACTCTGAATTCAGTCCTAGACAGGGAACAAGCAGTCTACAGCTGGATCGCTGAACATGCAATAGAACAGAAGCAGAGGCAGCTGCCACAATTGTTGCTCTGCTTCTCTTTGTGCCTTGTATATGCAACTCTGCACGAAGGCATCACAAACCTCTCACACACACAAGAACTCACATATATGCTGACATTCACACGCACAGACCACGCACAATCCTATACATAGACACACACGCGCACAAACATAAGCACACCTAAATACACACACACACACACACACCCTATACATACAACCCCCTCCATAGACACAAACACAGTCAGGCCCATACATACGCCATCAGTCAGATGCACAAACACACAAGTTCACACAAACAAGCACAAAAGGGGATGTTCGGATTCATTCTTAAGAAGGAGGGGAGTTCCAACCACAGGCAAGAGTCCCCCAAACCCTTCTCCTGTACGACTCCACAAAGTGTTTCCAACAACCCACCGTCCTGGTCTGAATCGAGAGGCGTCGGCTGACCGCTGCTATTAAACAAATGCAAAAAACCGAACCACTCGTGCCTCAAGGCTTGTGTATGTCACGGGAGAGCTTCACCTTTTCGGCAACTACCTCACTCGCACACCCCGGTTTACCGTTAAGCGGGAGGGGGAAATCACTAGCCCGGGCTGGATTAACACGCAGCTAGTAAATTGAGGTGAGCGCTCACCCAGGTTAGGGCAGACCCGGTCTCCCTGCGGTCCCCACCCCGGCAAAGAGGACATCGCCTCCCCAGTGCTGTCCAGACCTACCTGTATATACGCCATCTTCACTAGGTATCACATTAGTTCCCAGCACAGCCCGAGCACGGCGTCTCTCTCCCCTTTGCCCTCAACAGCACAAAAAGACGCGACTTGTGTGCGAGAGGAGCACTGGCCATCCCCGCTCCCCCGGCTGCTCGCTGCCTCTCGGCGCCTCCTCCCCAGCGCTTCCCGAGCCCGGCGCGGGGCGGGGGGGGGACGCGGTCTGGTTCTCTGGGATTTCGGGCAGGTTGTGCCGGGGGCCCCGGGCTCCCTGTGCCGCGCGGGGCGGGGAGGGGAGGGATGGGCTCGGCTCTGGCAGCCTGTCACCCGCTGCACCCTCCTGGGCATGGCTCGGGGTGAATTTCCCCAGCTTGGGCAGCCGCGGCCGCCACCCTCCCTCTTCCCGGGGTCGCCCTTCGCCTCTCTCGGGGCAGCCTTCCCGAGCTTCGAGCCTCCCAGCCCGCGGCCCGGACCGTCACCCCCTCCGGCCAGCAACACGTGGCGCAAAACAAGACCCAGCCGGAGCCCGACGCCTTCCCCCGGGGACGCCGCACTCAGCGCCTGGGCCGCCACGGAGAGCGACTGGGGCATAGCCCCGGACCCAGCAGCGCCCCCTGCGCCCTGGGCAGCTGGAGCCCAGAGGGGACCGGCCCCGCCAGGGGGCGGCGGCTGGTGCTGCCGCCCCGGGGAGCCGCCAGGGGGTGGAGGGAGGCTGCCGCGGAGGCTCCCAGTCCCGCTGAAGTTCGCAGAGCCCGTGGAGCCTGGGCAGGCGCTGGGCATGGTGAGACGCCGCGCCTGGTAAAGGGGGCGAGAAGCGGGGGAGCTCTTGGGTCAGGGGCAGGCCTGTAAATCTGGCCTGTGACTCTGCCTGCTGCACAGGATGGGAGCTCAGGGTGGAAAAGGAGTGAGGGGCCGAAGGAAGCTGATGCCGTGCGATGGGGGAGGGATCCCCTGGCACCTACACGTGCCACAGAGCCGATGGAAGCACCTGCCACCAACATGTGCTGCCAGTCTGCTAACGTGTGCGATGGGCTGGGGAAATCCCCAGAACTTATGCACTGGTGGGGCGAATCCTGCATGTAATGCCACGCGGGAACTCACCGGGAGCCTGTCACATAGTAAAAAGACCTTGAGCCAGTGCTGCTAACTCCAGGGTTTCACACATTACCTGACTGGTCCCAAGCCCCTAGCACATGTTGGTGACAGGCAGTTCCGTAGGCTCTGTTGCATGTTAGGTGCTGGGGGATCCTCCACCACATCGCTCACTTCAGCTTCCTTCAGCCCCTCCAGCTGCTGCTCTCCTGTTAGTGCCTGAGAATCACTACTTTCATTGCTGTTCGTTTTAAAGTAAGTTTCTAGCCCTAGGGGCTGTCGAGAAATGCTTGAAAACCTGATTCCTAAATGCCAGAAGGCAAATAAAAAGAACCCAACATTTATTATACTTATAATCTCTCAATTGTCTAGGGGAACCTGACTCATGATTTTTAAACACTTGGATTAGCCATACTCATTATTACAATGCAGAATGTACTCTAGGAAATTTACACACTGTGTGTAGTAGGAAGGGGCATATAATTACTGAGGGAACAATCACAGTACAGGCTGTTTGCAGGGGTGCCCGAATGGGAGGGTGTCACATATGCAAGTTAGGACCCCCTTTTCAGTCTCCTCTGTGTTAGGCTAGCCCCATTTTGACCTTTGCATGGGGACTCCATGTGGGTGTTGTGGATGCACAGACAGACGGGCCCAAAGATCCCAGGGAGTGTGTGTAGAGTAGACCCCTAGGTTTTAGATTCACAGAGATCACTGATTTCAGAGTAACAGCCGTGTTAGTCTGTATTCGCAAAAAGAAAAGGAGTACTTGTGGCACCTTAGAGACTAACCAATTTATTTGAGCATGAGCTTTCGTGAGCTACAGCTCACTTCATCGGATGCATGCCGTGGAAACTGCAGCAGACTTTATTTATACACAGAGAATATGAAAAAATACCTCCTCCCACCCCACTGTCCTGCTGGTAATAGCTTATCTAAAGTGATCATCAGGTGGGCCATTTCCAGCACAAATCCAGGTTTTCTCACCCTCCACCCCCCCACACAAATTCACTCTCCTGCTGGTGATAGCCCATCCAAAGTGACAACTCTTTACACAATGTGCATGATAATAAAGTTGGGCCATTTCCTGCACAAATCCAGGTTCTCTCACCTGGATTTGTGCAGGAAATGGCCCAACTTTATTATCATGCACATTGTGTAAAGAAAAGGAGTACTTGTGGCACCTTAGAGACTAACCAATTTATTTGAGCATGAGCTTTCGTGAGCTACAGCTCACTTCATCAGATGTTTACTGTGGAAACTGCAGCAGTCTGCTGCAGTTTCCACGGTAAACATCTGATGAAGTGAGCTGTAGCTCACGAAAGCTCATGCTCAAATAAATTGGTTAGTCTCTAAGGTGCCACAAGTACTCCTTTTCTTTTTGAGAGTTGTCACTTTGGAGGAGTCCTCCTTTCAGTGCTCACGGATGAAGGGGGCTACATATAAATGTGGTTCTCAAGGCCCCACATGACCTCCCGAGGAGCACTTCCATGCTGGCATTTCACAGGATTGCAGGCTACGAGTCACATGGTTAGCCAACAATATCAGGAAGCTCTGCCCTTTCATGCCCTTCTGGCTGAGTCCCAAGCCCCCTCCATTTGCATCCCCAGGGCCTGCTCTGCCTGGATCTCCACCTGCTGTCCAGCAGCTGCAAGCTCCCCTCAGCTCAGCAATTAGGAGAAGTATCCATGGTAACACTATGGATGGGGGCTGGGGTCGTTGCTAGAGCACCCCTCGCTGTTCTGACTCCCATCTCCCAGCCTGCTCTTGCTCACACACCAAACTCAGACCCAGAAACGGAACCCTGGAGTTAACAGATGGATCATGGCACATAGAGAAGCACCAGGAAGTGCAGCAGGGCACAGTTGCCCACACAGTGCTATAAGGCATCAAACATTTGTCTCATCCACACACATATATGCAGACATTCATACACATAAACAACAGCTACACACAAAGATAATCACACAGAGATACCAACAATCACACATGCACAATGTGTATGTCTGAATGAATGCAAGTGTCTCATACCCACAGAATCTCACTAGTACATTCACTCACTCACACACACACACGATGTTAGTTTCCTTTTGTTTTACTGATTTGTACCAACACAACCTTAAAAGGACATGCACCCAACACATAGCTAGAAGGGATGCTTTCAATTTCTTTTATTTACTTTTTTAAATTAAGGTCTAGTCACAAGTACAATTACCCCCAAACTTATCTGGGAAGAGATTGTTTTGTAACCCTACTCGGGATTGTCAACCGCCAGTAAGCCACAGTTCTTGTTTCTAAATACATTAGAAGCAAATATTACCATTGAATGCAAAAAATCAGAACCAATAATAATGCTACAGGTTGCATCTGTCACTAGAGAACTTGACCTTTTCTGTAACTAACTCTCAAGTTTCCCATTAAGTGGGAGAGGGAATCACGAACCTGGGCTGGATGAACATACAACGAATAAATTCAGTTGAGTCTAAACCAGGTTAGAGCAGACCCAGGTCCCCTGTGGTCCTCCCTCCCCAGATAACGAGGACATTTCCTCCCCAGTGCTGTTCAGACCTACCTGTATATACGCCATCTTCACTAGGTATCACATTAGTTCCCAGCACAGCCTGAGCATGGCGTCTCTCTCCCCTTTGCCCTCAACAACAACAAAAAGACGTGACTTGTTTGCTAGATGAGCACTGTTCATTCCTTCTCCCCCTTGCTGCTCACTGCCTCTCCATAATGATCAAGGATTCTTTCCCCGTATTTTTTTTTAAGCACAGAGGTGTTGATTATTTCGTTTGTTTCTAATATTTCTTGTATGGTTTTCTGGGTTCTCAGGCTCTCTGTGCTGCGAGGGATGTGTTCTGTCAGCCTGTCACTTGCTGCATGATTGATTTCCCGCTTTTCCTTCTTCCCTATGGTAGGCTGGTGGTGAATTTCCCCCTCTTAGGCAGCAGCTGCAGCAGACTTTGCACTTCCAGAGATCTGGATTCCCCTCTCTCAGTGCATCTCTCCTTGGATTTGTTTTTCCAACTTAAAGCCTGAGGCTGAATCCGGGGGAAGTATCTCCTGCAAACAGCATCATCCATCTGTCTGCAACCAGATGGACAAGAGACTTTGAAACAGCAACATGTAGGAGGGTCCTTTTTGTCACAGAACAAGAAGCAAAACGTGTCTGAAACCTATTGGTGATCATTTTCCACCCGCAAACCAAAAACCTTGCTCTTATTTCAAATTATGTGTGACCAGGTTAGATATTTATATATTGAAAGGGAATGGTGTATTGAAGGATACTCTTTCATGATGAGTTTCCAGAAGGACCTGCAATAAATCATACCGAGGGTACCTACCACCATCTATAGAGAATGCTGTCAATGTGCAGTGCACACGGTCATTTCATGTACACAAGGAAGCTGACATAAGTATGAGTAGAGGGCACTGCAATGTACATTTTGCCGTGTAAGATACTGAAAGAACCATCACCTTAATAACCCTTTGATTTGCCAGCATGCACCTCTCACTTCTATTTTTATAATTAAAGCGGGCATTAATTACGCCTTTCCCCCTCTTACAAAGGGTTTAGAAGAAGTATTTCACTACAGCTGTTCCGCAATAGGTTGATTGCGTTTTTTAATTTGGGGAAAGTGGTATTGTTAATTGGTAGAGCTAATGAAAAGAATTCATTAATAAATGAAGACGACTCGTCTGTAGATTGCATGTGTTTGCATTACGGGGCGGAGCGCAGGTTCCTTTGGAAGCGGAATGCAAGTGTCAAAGCTGCAATTGCAACAGGTCTTGTGCGGAAAAGCAGAACAGCGACATCCAGAGGACAAAGTGAAAAACTTCAGGGAACTGGAAAACATTTCCGAAGCTTACGAATCAACTGAGAGGACACAACTCTATCTGGATTAGACTGGCTTCATAACACACCCATATCACATGCTGGTAGAGTGCAGTACACTACAGGGCTAGTAAAACCTTATCTAGTGCAATTAACTAACAGGTCTTAGTGGAAGTGAATGTAGCTAAATATGAGTTTTATATCATTTTCATAGGTGTACTATTTGACACCAGCAACCTGCATTATTATTGCTGTACCCCTTCAAAAAATAAGGATTGAATCAACAAGGACTAAACTGTAGAATTAATTGTAACAGAAACATCCAAACCATGCATTGTGACTGGATCTTTAAAAGAACTGGATAATTTTATGAACATTAGTTCACGAGATAGAATAAGGATAACAAAATCTTAAAGATCATATCATATAAGGAAGGAATTTTTAGCCTAACATTGCATATAATACCTTACTAGGATTTTTTTTTTTTTTACTGTCTGACGAAGGCTATTGCTGGAGGCAGGATATCAGACTACATGGACCAATGATCTGATCTATTATGGCAAGTCTGATGTTCCTAAACAGACTATAACTAACTAGAAAGCAAGCCACGAAAAACAAGGACATATGAGGTGCTCAACTAGACTTAAAACTAATTGGGATGGGAGTGGAGAAGGATAAGTCTTAACAGAGAACTCTCATTTAGTCATCAGTCTAGTCTATTGTAGTTACAATAATACTAATAATCCTATTGTCGTTTAGGTTGATTTAGTGTTTTCATTGTAACGCCCCGGGCGGGGGGGGGAGGGCACACCTGCGGTTGTTTAATATTTCAAATATTTCAAAATCATTTGACTGAAGTTTAGCATGCACACTTCTCATGATGTAAAGGATTTTTATTTTATAGGACATGACATGACCAAAGAGTTTAGACAGCTTTAACCCTTTAGCTCAGTGCTGTTTCCTCAATGGTGATATATAAACGGCATAGTTTACCTAAAATGAAAACAATATCCAACAGCATGTCAGAAATTCTTTCCTCCTTCTCCATCAGGCAATTTCAGTGTTGTCAAAAATGAAACTGCATTTGAACTCTTACTTTGACCCCCATCAAGTATGACCCCCAACATCAGGGATCGTACATTGGTTTCATCCTGCCCTACTGCTGAATTACAAATCAGAAGTTTGTAAAGGAAAAAGAGCATGAGAAATCAAGTTTAATATTAGGGGTCTGATTCTCTGCTACCTTGCAGAGTTACACCATTCTGATCGGGTAGCATTTTACACGTTGAACTGGCTGTGACAGAGAAATGCCTTGCAGTTCTTCAAAAATTGTGCTAAATGGAGATGAGAAGAGACAAATGTGGAATAATCTATATTGTTAAAACTTTACTTTTGGCCACGTTCATGACTTGGAAGGCAGCAAGCATGCTACCACATGCAAGAACTATATCAGAGCTCTCTAGAGTTCTGCTCTCTGTGCCCATAGTGGTTGGAGGCTTTGCAGACAGTGCCTAAGGCTCTCATCCTGCTCCCACTGAAACTAAGGGCCAGACTTCTCTATGCCTATCTGGGTCATTGTCTTGCAAAGGAAAGCACCTTACTGTTGCTCTCCAGCAACAAGGTGGGGCATTTTGTGCCGGATTTTGGGCTGTGCTTCTTGAGTGCTACCTTTGCACATCCCAAATTATGGCCTTGGCTTAGGGAAGCTCTAATTTAAGTCTCCTGCCTGTGGTTCCCTGTGAAGCTCTCCAGCCGAGCCCTGGTACACCCTTGCAGGAATTTGCACTGGACCCTGGACAGATCTTTGCTACTGGAACCACAACAACAGGCAGCAGGACTAGACAGTTATTGCCCGTGCACCAGCCCCTGGAGGAGGATGCAAAACACACTGAAACAGGGGGTTACATATCCACAAGTAGCCCCATATTACAGACCACAGATGATTACTTAGATATGGCAGATTTTGAGAGACAGTGTAGCTAATGGGATGAGACTTGGCTCTGCCATATTAGATACAGGGGCCCTATTCCCAGCTAGTGTAATCTCTCAATCCTTACTCAATAAGAGTTGCGAAGGGACAGAATTATTGCCATTGGACTGTAGAAGTAGTGACTTTAAATCGTGGTCTTCTGGGTCTTAATCCAGTGCACCTTCCTCTGCACCAAAGGATGTTTTGAAGGGGAAAGAGGAGAAAGATGATAAAAACCATTTTGCTCAGGTCTTGTCCAGAATTTCAGCTGCATGTGGCAGGCTGAAGCGATACGCTAGGGTGGCCTATGTGCTGATGGAACATCGAGCTGCCCGCACGCTTGCTGAGTACAACATGGATGGGAAATCGTAATTGTCAGCTGTTTAGAACTAGGCCCAATTGGAACGGGTTTTCATGGAGACCTCAAGTGGCAACTCCCTCACCCCAGGATTAGCACCCTGCCCCATTTCAATCTCCTGCTGCAAACTATGGAAGAACTGGAGCTCTCCAAAGAAATTATTAACATTTTAGGCAACATAAATATATGAGTCACTATAGCTCCCTATATAATGAGAGAGAGAGAGTCCTTCAGGTGCAGCATTGCTATAGGAGACTTCAGCACTAAAGTTTATATTTAAGGACTTGTTTCTTCTCTCGCTGAAGTCAATGGCAACACCTTCACTGTCTACACTGGCAAGGGGCCCTAGGTTTCTTTTAATAACTATTTCTTTTCCTCCTGAAGACAGCTCCTGTTTTAGAAGCACAATTCCCATAGTTTAAATGTAATCACTTCTCTCTCTTATTCTTGTTTTGGGCTGTGCTGGGCGCACAGTTAAGTTGCGGTGCATGGCATTTCTCAAATTTTTTACTACTTGTTTAATAGAATTTTTTATTCTACAACTAACATATTTCTAAGTCTCAGCATTTAAAATGTCAGCCTTTACTCTGAATAGCTTCACTATTTTCATCTTGATTCACTGCCACCCTAATGGGGCTTACAATAAATGAATAGATGGGGTTTTTCCCATATCACAATACAGTAAAGAAAGGCTTACATCTTTAAAATAGAGTTTTCAACTCATGAAACCATCAAGCAGTGAGTCACATTAAACCAGAACACGTGACATTATGTAAATGGCACATCACGTGTATTGGTGTCCTGCATTTTCATGGTATATTTTTAAAAGAATATAAGTATGGGACTGGGGAAAGAGAGAGAGACTTTTGTAGGTAAAAGATGAGACAGTCATATTTTGTAAATCTGTGGGATTATTCCTCTTGCTCCTACTTAGGCAAAAGTCTTCTCAAGTGCTTTATATACTTATAAACTATAAACAGTTTGACCCCAAAAAGGGAGAGACTCCATGAAATCCATTAGGGACTTTGCTAGTGTTGTTTATTTTCTGTGGAAGGTACCCAAATGCTATGATGATGAGCAGCAGTCAAAAATCCTGAGACATTTCCAGTTTTAAAAAATATGCACAAGTATTTGAATCCATATTTAGGAACTTTTCACCGTGGTTGACTGACTCCTTTAAAAGGTTCCTATATTAGGTTCTCTCATGATATGATAGAGGAATTTTACATATGTGTACAGTTATAGTCCAGAGAATAAATTGGTTCTAAACAGTAGATAAGTATTTATTGTCAACTTTAATTACAAGTCTGCATTTGGCTGGTATGCTGATTAAGCTCAGCTCCTACAGCATTCAGTATAAATAGCTCCATTTCACAGGATGATAACATAACCTTTAGACTCCCTGTGCTGCATGAAATGTGTCATACTGTATATTTTATAACATGTACTCTGTACCTTCTCATGTACAGAATGTGCCTGTAATATATACAGACTTGAAAATCCAGTATTTTTAACTTTTAAATAAACTACGTTAAGTTTTCTATTTTAAAAGTTACTTCCACACAATTGGCCATATTCTCGTCTCACTTGCATTGGCATGAACACAGATCAAGAGTACCTCCAGTTAAATCAGTGGTGCTATATGAATTCGATACTGATTTTCCATGGAGAATCAGGCCCATAGTAAGCCACGAGTGAATATCTCTGAATATGTGCTCGAGACAGAATTCGCATCACAATAAGGTAGCGAATGCTGCCTCTAGTATAGCATATGTTAACTAGGCATATCTGAATCAGCAGTAGACGTGATTAAAACATAGTACAATATCTGGTATATTTTATGTACTATCAAACCCAAGCTAGAAAGCAATTTTTAGCCTGCTGCCATCAAAACAGCACAAGTAAACTGCAAAAGGTGAGTGTCAAACTGAAGGTGGCAAAGAGGAGAATCAGCTGGCTACTTCGTTTGAATCTCGCCAAGGGGTATTGGCAGCATGCACAGACAT